TCTCTAAATTTATTTACAATGCGAGCAGCGCCTGCAAATGGATATCCATTCCGATAAAGTGAAAATATTTGTACATCGTTAGTCAATCTAGAGGGGGACCAAAATGGTGTGGAGTGCTAAATAAAATTTCAACGCCTGGGAATAAAAATCTAATCTAAAAATATCCAAACATTTGAGATGCAGTTTTGATTTGCGCTCAACATTTAATTGAATCGAGAAATGAAAGCTTTAATTAAAACGTTGGTACGTGAACCAAATGCCCGAGTGGAGTTGATCAAATTTACATACTAAATCGAGAGAGTAGTCGGCCAGCCAGCCAGGCGGTTGACTTTAATATTTGGCACACATTCGATACTGGAAATTGGCCCCGAAATTAAATATGTGAGCCACTCAAAATCCATTTAGCCAGGGCCTTGCCAAACTTTTGGCAAATCAGTTTAGTGAATGGGTTATGCAAGGATAAAAACTTGTGTGTGCAGCCAATAAAAAGCGTTCCCAATAAAATGTGACTCACATTAGCTAATGCAAACTGAGGGCCAAAGGTGAAGGCGGTTGGGTTTCAGCCAGGGAGTACACGCTGCGTATACGTAACCTCGATGGGCATGTGCCTGTGAGCGAGTGTGTTCGTTAGTTTGGATGTGGGCAGGTGGGTGTATAATGGGTGTGGGGGTAGCATTGTGCCAGTTTCGCCATTGAGGCATCCACCTACGATCGACATGCACTTCAATTTACAAACTTGCCAAGCCAGCAAGTGAGTGTGTGTGTGTGGTTGTGTGTGTGAGTTTTCCGGCTGCAGCTGCAGTAAAGTGTGTCGACGTTTTTCCATTTCCGGCAGGGAAAATGGCGCCCGCCTCCTCACCACTACTCAGCCCCTTTATTTTGTAATGTAATGAAGTGTGTTTGCATTAAAATGCAATTTGAAGTGCAAAGTTACAATATTATTATGGCATCTATAAGTGCGCGGGTGTGTGTGTGCTGGCAACAGGAGAGTCCTTGAGGAGGATACTCCTGGCTGCTACCTGGTCCTGCCACTTTTTTCGCGGTTTATGTGCGCTAAGTGAGCCTATAAAAAGCCATGCCTGGCTGCCTCGTTTCGCAAGGGTTCAAGTGCAATTTTATGAATACTAAAAATTCTAATGGTCGTAGGGATGTGTGTGTGTGGGGGCAGGACCTTCAGGACTGGGCAGCAATCAGAGCGTTCCACACTTGGCGCCATCATCAACATCATCATCATCCACATCCACAACCCAGCAGCTGTTTCCCATCCCCGTGGCTGCTAATTGTGCTGCATACTTGGGTGAGTCTGGTAGCTTGTTTGCATGCCCACATTAAGCCGGCATCAGGACGCACTCCTTAACACTTCGGAATGGAATGGCCTTGTCAACCCTCAACCCTCCACCCTCAATCCTCAACCCACAGCCCATCTTGATGACGAGCGTTTTGATATGCAAATAAACTCGGTCTCCAGCTGTCCGCAGCATTAATTGCATATTAAAATTCACTTGCACTCGCATTTCCATTCCGAATTGATGCACTTTGTTCTCGGTGTCCCCAATAATTTTGTTTATGTTGTATCGTGTGTCGTTTATAAATGGCTTTTGTCGCCGAATCGTTAGGCCATTGTTTTCCTCAACTCCAGCTTGTTGGTCTGTCGAATTTGTGTCGGAATTCGTAATTAATGTTTGGCACAGCGAATAAATGAGTTTGATTAGGAACCATAATGGAAACAGCGGGGATCGGATTGCAATTTGAAACAATAGTCTTTTGTGGAATTAGTACATATGTTCAGCTATTTCAATGAACTAGATACCTACAGAAAAAAAATTGTATTTAGTTGGGGGGCATTTGGAAGTATTTTGGAGCTCTCCAAAATGGTATTGACCCTGATTCGGAACCAGAAGATTAACATACAATTAGTTTAAAATTTATGATTTACCTATTCTGTTGTGAAAATATATATATCACCTTGATGATTATAATGATTTATCTATTATATATTTATAGCTTAATCAAAGCCTATGTTAAAAATAACTAAAGTATAAACTAATATACCAATTGATATAAATAAAATGAATATGCAATTAGTTTTATATTTATGATATACCTATTCCAATGTGAAAATATAACTATCACTATCATAACTTGAAGATTATTATGATTTATCTAATAATATTTAAAGCTTCTTCAAAGCAATTACACATTAAACACATTAAAGAAATAAATACACCTAAGGCCTTACAATTTTCAAGTTCCTAATTTAAATCATTTAATCATTCCTCTTTTTTATGGTAAAAGTAAAGCCCTATAATTTGATCAACTTTAACTTGTATTCATTCAATTTGCTTGTCTTCATCTGATTCCTACTTCCATTCACTTTGTCAAATAGAAGCTGGCCAAATCTGAGCTATAAATTCACACCTCCTCAAATTAATTCCGCAGCACTTGTTCATATCGCCATCATCTCAATCAGTCGTAGGTCCGTCAATCTTTTTCCCTGCAGCTTATCGTGCACATTCAATTTGGCCACCATCACAGGCCTCAACAGTTTGCTTTGAAGTGGCATTCATCTGTGTAATTTCATTACACGCACACTTCAGCAATTTAGCAATTTAAACAAATATGTACACGTTCTTGGGTGGTGAAGTGTTTGGTGGGGGGGGGATGGGTCTATGCTACTACATATATTTATCTATGAGTATATGGCTCACATTTCACTGCGCCTTAATGGCCGTCAAAGGCCAGCAATTTTGCACTTATGTCCGAGTACCATGAAATATGATGGCATTTGCAGGGCCACTCTACATGAAGAGAAATGTCGGCACATGCATTACGAAATACGAAAAACGAGCAAAGAACTAACCATATAAATAACTAAAATGCTCAACAATAACAATTTTCGTGCAATTTGTACGAGCTGCCCGTTGGAATCAACAAAAAACTATTTTAGCAAGCAAATGAAAGAAATCCGCAAAAAAAAATAGCGATGAAACGAGCAGCTGAGCGGAGAAATCGTTTTATCTGCCGGCTTCACCAGAAAAAAAAAAATCGCACAGCCACATCGTACTGGATAGATATAGACCGAGATATAGACGCACACCCACTAAACTAGCAAAATAATCCAAACGAGCACGACGACGCCACTCGGGGTTCGTGCGCTTTTCAATGGCTCTGTGTGCCGCCTGCCGTGGAAATGAAAATGATTTTCATTGAAAGCAAAGTGTGGGGGCATTGCAGTCAGATCAGAGTCAGATCTTTTGAATGGGCGATTCGCTGATTCGCGAATCCAGCGTCATGGCTACAAATTGCTTGTCAACAACAAGAACTAGAAAAGGAACATCATTTGGCAGCTGCTTACATTGCGAACCAGTTTTTAGGTGTGTGCCCGACTTTTTAACGCACTTTTGCACTTCTTAGTTTGGCATTCTCTAGTTTCTAAGATGGGCACATCGTACTATTGGTTTTCATTGATTTCCATCCACAAATAACTACCGGATTTCACACAATTCCCGGATCTGGCAGTGGATTTTGCAGAGATTTATTGCAAGCACGGTTTTGATTTGCTCAGATGGCCGGAAAGCAATTCCAATTCGCACTGTTCGCGACACGTCGTTGAAGTCCCGTTAGTTCCGACCGTACCCGCGGGATCGCAAACTCTCACTGAACCGATTTTTATGGTACACACGCTGGAACCGAGGTACTCGAGCTCGGACAGCATCCGTGCCGAGTGGGGCGACCAAAAGCCGAGCGGAACACGCTCACAGCCGCCCAATAAGCGGTACGAAGAGAAGCGGTCCCGAGAGCGCATTCGAGAGATGATTTCAAGACCCCGAAGATGGAAACCCGAAGTGGTGGTTGTGGATGCTGCCTGATAACAGGGGTCTGTTAGCGCGGCTCTGCGTTTTTATAGCACGCTTTTGGGATTGGTTCCTGTAAGTTTTTACCCCGAAAACCCCAAAAACACCAGTTAAGCAAATAGTATTTTAAACTTAGTCACTAATAGTAAACATAAGCAGCTCTATATTGGAAAGATAGATAGATATAGATAGATAGATATGCTGCAGTTGGATTATGGCAGCGGTTAATCTTGTTTACATTTCAAATTAGCCTGCGGCATTTCTGCGACTCTCTCTCGGCTTGTTTCATTTCTCTCGGGTTTTTCTCTGGCGCAGCTTGTGCTAAAAAACAGCTGATAAGTGTGCTAAAATCTACATCTGGTTTTAAAATTTGGGGATTAAGAAGTTACTACTTAAGTCGGAAGCCCTAAAAGTGCTACAAATGGTATTAATAATTTACGAAAACATTTAGTATATGAGTTTTAAGAAGGTATAAGTTAGATACTTAAAAGTGTTATGTTTTATTTTAATTATTACATATTTTATAAATAGTTGACACATAATTTAAATATTTATTAGATCAATATTCCAAAATAGGATTATATTTACACCTAGTGGTTCTCATCATCAATCATTCATTAACAGCCTTTGAACATCAATCAACAACCCACCTGTTGCCTTCTAGATGATATCAACACCTGCCCATCAATCAAAAAAGCAAGATGTTATCAGTAAGAAAAACATAACAGAAATACCACAACCTTTATATTACTTTTCAAATGTAGCTTTCAAAAAAGACACATCCTTTAGTTTATTAATAAACTTCAATAGGGCAATAAACAATTTGTTAAGCGGTTCCACAGAGCTCTGTAAACAGCAGAACTTTCTCTTTTGCATCAGTAGCTTTCCTCTCTTTTTTAAGAGAAACTCAGGGTCTGGCCGAAAATTGTGCCAAATTGTCAGACTCCTGAGCTTTTTATGGCTCTGTAAGGCAATGTTAACTGGCGACTGTAAGTAGGCCAAATCAGTCATATGTAGGTGAGAGTCCCGTCCCTCGGGAAAGTCCCTGCCCAAAACTAAGGAATTATACCGCCCTCCACATATATCCTCTAAAAAGATCCTTAATTAACTTTCCCCGCCGTTAAAGTCAATTTCCACTTCCACAAATGTTGGTCAACTGTTTTTTATCAGCTCATAAACATGGCGAACAAGTTCATTTCGGTGTTAAAAGCGTGTTCTTGGGCACACATGTGTGTGCCAGCGTCCATTTTACAGCTGCAGCAACACACAGCACACACAGCAACACACACACACTCGGTGGCTGACATTTTTAATAGCAAACACAACACGCTGCGACTTTCGCACATGAAATAATGCCAGCTGAAGTAGTAAGTAGTCCTGCCGGAACCGAACCCAAACAGATGACGCACCGTGGAACAGGTCCTGAAAAATAGGAGTAAAACAGATGAGTTATTTTATTAGGATAGGATATAAGGATATACCTTTTGTTACTGATTTTCAAAATTAAAATTATAGAAATTAAACTTTAAAAGAGCGTGAAAAGTTTTTAAGGATTTGCATCAGAAAAGACTACAAATTATATAGTATGGTTCTATATAAAACATTTTAGTTTGTTATCCTACAATAGGAACTTATTTTATCCACTCACCCAAAAAAAAATATTCAAGTTCATTGTTCTTGAATTGAGAACATTCGTTCTTGAAAACCTTGTAAGTAAAATTTGGTATTAATGTTCTCAATATTAAAGCCAAATGGTGAAAAGGGAAAAGTTAAATTGAGTAAATTTAACAACTTTTTCATAAGTACACACTGACTGGACTGATAGTTCATTTGTTGAGATATACAATGTAAATAACGTCAATTCAACATGATTCGAGCAAAATGAAAAATTTCGTTCTATTTTTAAGAACATTTTCAACTCAAATGAAGACGTAAGAATTTTCCCTGGGCACTTTCAAAAATAGAAACTAACAACAAATTTAAGACTTATAACATAGGTAATAATTAGTTATTGTTACATAAATATACACGATCTCAAGACATAATTTAGCTAACATTGATTCGAGATACGATACGAAATTCGGGGAACTGTTATATAAGTTTAAGCTTTGACACACCAGGATATCAACTCTTATCAAATAAACAAAAAACTTTATAAGTTCCTTTAATATTTCATAACTTTCTCCACTGTGCCAGTACACTTTCCTTGCTTGTTGCCGTTGTAGTTGTAATGAAAGTGTTTTTTATGAAGTGCTCGCATCCTCGTACGCAACATGCGTGTCCTGATCCTGCTTTTGCTTTTGGTTTGCTTTGGCTACTTCGTGCTTCGCCCAGTGAAATATGACAAAAAGCATGCTACAGCTCCGCTATTTCCGCAGTGGTTGTTGTTGGTTTTTGTTAGCGCTTTAATAGCGAGAAGAAGTCAATGGCAAAACGACGACCGAAGGATCCAAAGGAGTTGCTGGTCCTGTGTGTAGTGTGTATAGCGAGTGTGTCCGCAATAGCAATAAAAATATATTTTACAAACTGCTGCTGCTGCTGCTTCTGGAAAACTGCTTAGGATTTTTCCTTTTTTTTGCCCCGCTGTATTGTTAGAGTTTTCCTGCCCTGCCTCGTTTTTGCTGCTGTTTGATATATGTAGAGCGGCTAACAAGAATACCCCCCAAAAACCCCAATCCACTCAAACATACATGCAAAACAAGTTCGCTACAACAAATTATTGGAAACCCAAGAAGTTTTCTTCGCTGCTGCTTTTATTCTCCCCTAACTCGCATGAAAAAATATTAAAAAAAAAGAAAAAAACCTAAGAGAACGAGAATCAGCGGGGAAAAATCTCGCATAAAAAATACGAAAATTGTTCCAAAGTTAGCAAGCCAACAACAAGCATATAAAATGTGTTTTTCCTAGAGTTTTCCCGCCGTTCTGATTACATATGTATGTGTGCAGTTTTGGCTGGGGCCGCCACTAAAACGCGTTTTGCTTAACGCGCTCGAATCGTTTTTGGTTTGCCTTGGCTCCTTCTAACCCCAAAATCTCTTGGCTGGTTCGGTTTTATTTGGCTATGGCCTTCAGTTTGTGTCAACCATAACGATTTTCTTTTCAATTTAGCTTTAGTGCGTATTTTGTTCTAATTTTATTGCTCGTATTAAAATATTTTCATCTCGCCCCGCCTGTAGATATTTTTCGAGTGCCTGTTAACACACAATTTTTAGAGCGGGCTTGTCGAAGTACCAAAATTCCTATTTCCAAATGGTATACAAACACACATATTTATAGGGGGTATACGCCTGCCTCCTCCTTCCAATTCATGGTCGCTTGATAATATATTTTTTATGATATTTATGGCTCTGACATTTTGCTTAGCTGGCAGGCGATTTATATTTTTTGGCCAACTCTTTTCCATTTTCCGACTGCTCCCCCCCTCATGGCATTGTTTTAGTTTTCCTCTTTATTTTTTTTTTGCTTCTTTTTCCTGCATTTTTATGTTTCATTGTTGTTGGCGTTTGTGGCTGTTTATTGTTTGTGATATGAGGCAGATCCATGGTCATTCAATGGATTGTCATATTGTGGCAGAGTCCTTTTTTATGCCCGCACACGTTTCGCCGGTTTTTTATGGCACAAATCCCACTAATACACGGGTATTATGCAGATGGTACTGGGCACAACTCTGAATAGATTGCAAATATTTGCAATATATAAAATAAGCTGAATACATTTTCCAATTGAAGCCAAAACAAACGGTCAACTTTTGTTCTTGTTTAATCGGATTCTTGAATATTTTTAGCTGGTTAACTTTTCCCGAACACGCAGAAGAATAATGTGTAGTAATCGGTAAATACTTTAAGAATCGCCGAAAGAACTTAATACTTTAAACCAAAAAATCTTTGTTTTAATTTTAAACTGGTGGGTGATTATATGAACACAATTTAATATACCTGCAATGGTTTTCTTTTTGGCAACAATAAATATTTGTAACATAAATAATTAAGGATGTCTTTGTACTGCAAATTAAACCAAAAATAGTTTATGAAAAGAAAAGTAATTCAGGTTCCATTAAAATGATCTTAAACGCAGTTCGGTAAATAAATTTGTAAGTGTACTGAAGCATGTATATTTTGTTTAAATGCTGTCCATACCCAGGAATTATTTGGGGAATTTTTCACACAGTTTGGGCAAAAATGTTTGTCTGCCACTTTGGGACTTGAAGACCAAGCCGGATTGGGCGTGCTGGCAATTAAAATTACCAACGGCAGCACCGACAGGAACATGACTGTGTTGTCCCTGCCTCTGCTGCTCAAGTTTGCCTCGAACAACTTGCTCTCGGACACTCCAGAAATAAAATGAAATTGTTAAAATTAAATTCAATTTGCTTGCTGGCCAGCAACAAATTGCAGGCACAGAGATGCAAACAATCTCCAATCTGGGGAATTCGGAATAAAAATATGCAGAAATAGTTCAAGTGCAATGCCATTTGAAGTCCTTGTCTGTAAACAAAGTGCGAGTCTGCGAGGACACCTCTTGGATTGTGGGAGTAGCTATACGTATATATATTTTGGACCCGCTGCATATTGCCAGTTAGTTAATTATCGAGCCACGATCACGTACACACAGAGCTATGCACGAGTGTGTGGCATCTGTTTGCCAGTGTCTGGGCTTAACTTAATTAGAGCGCTGCGCTGAATTTGCGGTCTTCATTTAACGCAGCACCATGGCCTCGACCCATCCGCAATCCGCTATCCTCCATCCGGCGGGCAAATCCCCATCGCACCTCAGCTCAGTCGTACACCTGCCTTGGGATCTTTCTCCCGGCCAGTTCCTGTCCCAGTGTCTGTCTCCGCGGGCGCAAATTTAAAACTGCATACAACTATTTCCGCCAGCGCCGGGGGCAGCCTCTCCAATGCAGCCAAACATTTCGCTTCGTTTATTTGCTTGCATACCCTGCAAAACACGACTGAAAGACTAATAAAACCCTTTGAGTACGACGTGAAAGTGTTGGTCAGTAAATAACCTGCAATCGCAGCTTTGTCGGTAGAAGTATATGTTACACAAGTCAAAAATATACCATACTTTCAGCACTTGGTGAAAGAAGTTAAGGACCTTTATTAAAGTAAAACAATATTTTAGTATAAAACCAAAAGAAATATAATACAATCAGTATAGCATAAATAGTTTCGAATACTTTCCTTTCTTATCGAGGGTTTCAAAAATAACTGCAGCAACATAACAAATATCACTTTAAATGACTAGCATTGAAAAAGTTGTTGTACATAAAATGGCCCGTTTTCTCATTGTCATGTTATCTTTTATCTATAGGTTAAATTGGTGGTTAGGAATAACTTCAGATCCTCAAAAGGCTTCTATCTGATTGCTTACTTTTCTTTTCCAATTTGTTAGACCGAATTTAAGTCTGAACTGTCTGATAACAGACTCTGTGAAGAACTGTCGGTTAGAAAGTTGACATCACATTGAGAAACCGAATTTGTCTGCCCGAAAAATTTAAATAAAATTAAATTAAATTAACTTTTTGTGACAGGTAACCAAGTAGCACCTTACATGGCCTTAAAAAAGTTTAAGTTATAAATATTTATGGTTCTTTTCCTTAACTTTAATTCACTTAAATTTAACTCTTGGTTATATTTAAATGTAAATGTTACTTTTTTTCGAGTTTATTCGGTCTGAAAAACACTAAGTTGTCTGATAACAGACTCTGTAAAGATTTTTCGTTTGTAAAACTAACATCACATTGAGAAATCGAATTTGTCTGCCTGATAAATTAAAGTTCTAGTTAACTTTCACTAACAGATAACCAAGCAGTACCTTAACATGGCTTTAAGAAATTAAGTTAAAAACATGTGTACTTCATTTTAACTTTAAATTACTAAAATTTAACCCTTGGTTATATTTAAAGGTATATGAGTGATTCCAGCGCATCTCTCGCGTCGATCACATTCCCGTCGATTATTTTTTCTTCGCAGTGCTGGCTGTTGGTTCGTTGAGCGCTTGCATGTTGCACGTAATTTGCATTGTTGTTGCCTTTAATTGCTTAGTGTTAATTGCTGTAATTGCGGTAAACTAAACTACGAGCCAAAGGACGGACACACGCACACAGAAAAGAATAAGAGCAAACACGTAAATGCCCTGGCCGCTTAATTAAGCTGATGGCAGGGGGTGGTGGACCTTGATTCGGAGCGGAGGTCACTCACTGGGTCGGATTTTAACCTGAGTCAAGCACCCCTCCCCCCTCCCACGATTCGCAGGTGTCCGAGCTGAGTCCTTGGAGCGACTTTTACAGCTTTGACAACCGATCGCCCTGCAATTTGGCCCTCGGCGATGACATTCAATACGCTTGAGTCTAGCGTTCCCATTCGCTTTTCCGCCGAAGGGGAAAAGTCACTCGATTGCGGATGGCGCTCGTTAAAGCTAGTTAAAGATGGCTTTAAAATGTCATTGCCAAATCGTGAAATCGCCACACCCATCTCAGACCGACCTCCCTCTTTTGCCCAGGAATGACGAGGGACGTGGGCTCAAATGTCACAGGGTCCGGCCATAAATTCCCGTCCTCGTCGGCGAGAAAACCGAACTGATACCCAATTATAGCTATGTATTTATATGCGAATTCCGAACCTTTGGTTTCACATGTCATGTTTGGCTTAAAGCTCACCTGTATTAATTAATTGGCAAGTTGCTGGTATTAATTAGTAGCGCTCTTTGTATTGATTTCTGTTTCAGTTGGTCAAGTGATGTCTTGGAAACGTTTTCTCAGGCCCACATGGTACCCTTTTCCCCCTGCTGACCTGCCGGTGTATTCAAATGGAAAAGGCCTGGTGGCCGTAGGTCATGAGTCAACGCATCCTTGCTGGGTTCACCGGTCAAATGTGCTCTTGCCTCCTCGTCAATGGGTTGCTCCATGTTTATGGGGCCCCCGAAATACAAATTGAGTTTTCGGGGGTTCGTTGGCCAGGCTGTTGCTGCCGGCAAAAGTCAATACAAAAGCTAATTGATTGGAAAATTATGTGACTTTGAATATGGGCCGGGAAGAAATCTCCCTTCGTCGATTTCCCAGAAATATACGACTCAATATTATGGTCCAGTCGCAGTGGTAATCGACTGGGGAGTAGGCATAAAAATTATTACAGCTCTGCGGCGCACAGAAATATATATGTGTATTGGCCAAACACAGCTGGCTGCCTTAATGAATATGCATTAAGTTGCCATTAAAAAATCTACTTGATTACTGGTGACGCAAGCTGGCGGCGACACTCTCTAATGAATTGATAAATCGAATTAGAGGGCCAAGTTGACGACGGCTGACAGGAGGAGCATCGAGTATCGAGTACCGGCTAACTAACACTAATCAAATTACAAGTTGCCAACGCGGCCAGACATAATGCATGATTGATGATTGACGGAGTCGCTGGGTTTCGGATTCGGGATTCAGGATCCCAATAAAATGGCCACAATAGTCAAATCGCAGTGCTGGTCATTAATCAGAGCTTCTTAATTAGAGCGCAGCGAGTTGAGTTTTCAGTGTTGACAAGCCGTAAAAAACGCAGAAGAAGGGCGAAAAAGTTTGCACAATAATAAAAATCACAGACAAAAGGCGCTAAACGATTGGCGTCAGAGAGCAACAACATGGTTGGGTTGTGGGAAAAACCTCGATCAACCAACAGGGGTTTTCCCGCCCCCCTGGCCACACCTCGTTCGATTTATAACATTTTCCATTTCAATTGTGGCGCTGTTGACTGCATTCGATTCGATTGATTTCATTTGCCTGCTCGCCGTTTGGCGGTTATAAAAATTCATTGCAACCGTTTTTATACGAATGACGAGGTTTTCCATTCTTCTGTTTTTTTTTTCAGATTTGTTGTCAAATCAACTGGGACTGTGTGTGTGTGGGCCAATAAAACGTGTTCAGTGCTCGCAACTTCCGTTTCATTTCATTTTCCCCATAATATGCGGCGCTGACGCCGCTGCCTCTTGCTGCATTTTTCATCATCGTCACTCAAACACTTTTTGGCAACAATGCAAGCCCTTTTTCACCCATTTTCCCACCCATTCTACGCCCTTTTCCCACTCCCAACTTTCCATGCATTTACGCTTATTTGAGCATAATAATTTTTGTTTATTGCCCACAAAAACTGCCAGTGAATGGAACTACCATGACAATTCCACTGGCGACAGTTGGCTCTCACTCGCCGAAAAAGAATTGGCCGAAAAAAAGGCTTAAATATTTAAGTGTCCTGGATTGTTGATGATGCGCTTTTTAATTGTTGCGAAATCAATTTTGCATATTGCCCGCTTATGCATTCATCTCTGTGAGATTTATTAGGCTGCAAAATATCAGCATACAACCATTTAAATGGTTTAATTTCACGTGCATATGAATGTAAAGCTTTTTTATTCTGATTAAATATTATTTGAGCCAATTTATGCTGACCATAATCATGCGTGAAAAGTGTTACTGGATGGTTTTTTTCATCAGCAAACATATCGATGGTAGTAATATTCGTGGTTTTAAAAAGAATATTGTGTAATATACACATGAAACACGGTATTTTTGTGGGATCTCTGTGTAAAGTTACGTTTTTTTATATGCTTTTTGGACTCCAACTTCACCTACAATCCTTAACCCGATTCCACAGAATAAAAATCTGTGAATCACTGGCCCCCCGAATGTAATTTAGTTAAGTGTTTCCTACACATGAACATAAATTTATTCGGCAATTGTCCTTCTCCGGCAGAGAGAAAAATATTAAAAATATGCAAATTGTTGTCTTCTTGCCTTTGTTTATACTCCTGCTTAACCCTTTTCATTGCGGCCCCCAAAACAAACTAAATAATCTCAGACAGACCACTCACACACTCACTTCTCCCGTCTTCGGCACACTCCATTTGGCAAATATAATAAATATTTCGATGCCGTTTTCCTCGGGGGAGGGCTACTACTACTACTTTTGTTGCCTTTTTTAAGATGGTTTTTCATGTTCTATTTTTGCGTTGGCCGCTTACGACTTTTTGTCTGGTCAAGAGACAGCCAGCGGAAAATGAATGTGTAAAATATTTTAATGTGGCACTCGGCTTCTAGATGGGCTGCTATCTGGGGAAAGGAAATTGAGATAGGCAAATTGTCATAAGTAAGTGCGGTGGCCTACCAAGAATCTCAAAACAGTGACAGCATCGTCCGAGGGAAATTAATAAATGGCCTCGGCCATTTGATATCTTTCGGCCGAAATTCCGCCCGCAGGTTGGGCAAATAAAATATAGCCGTTTCCGAGTCTCTCTATTTGCTCAACCAATAATCATCACATTTCCGCAAACACTCGAAAAGACCTATCCGCAAGTCACATGAAAATTTCATGGCTCCCCCCACCCTGACAAGCTCAAATATTCATAAACGACGAAAAATGACAGATTAACACAAATATTGATACAGCGACTGGGCCAAGTCCAAGTCATCTCTGCTGACCCACAAGGGGAGTGGTTTGGATGGGGTGGATATACCGGGGTCAGGGGTATACCAAATCCACCCTTAGGAGTACTCCAGAGATCCCTGTGGGTCTGAGATTTTTGGCATGCTCATCGCGTTCATTTGGGTTCCCCGCATTGTTTTGAATAATTCGCATTCGAACATGAAATATTAATGAGCGTTTTGGTTTTGGTTTCGGCTTTTTTCATGTCTCTTTTTTTACCATTTCACATTGCGTAAGGGCAATAACATTGAATATGCAGCAAATGATGCAGGAAAGAATACACAAGGTTTACAAAAGTTATTGGCCAGACGGCAGCCGTATAATCACTAGAGCTCAAAGGAAGGTGAATTGACGTAGACTTATAAAACA